GCAATTCTGGATCGTCAAACTATCAAGAGAGATGAGGCTCAAGTCCTGAATGGTTTTTAGCTCTCGAAAACTGTTAATTTCCAGCAATTTAAGAGAGGTGCGGCTTTGAAGACCCAATGTAGATAGAGAAGTTAGAGAGGAAGGTTTGAATCTTCACATCTAGTAATACGGAGTTCTCTAAGAGAGGCGAGGTTGTGCAACCCCCTTCTACTAGTGGCCAATAGGTTTTGGCACCTACCCAAACATTGAGTTCTGTTAGGTTGGTGGGTCACCCTCTTCTGCTAACAATATTGGGCAATTCCGTATCTCTAATTCTTTAAGAGAGATCGGAAATTTGAAGGATATTTTCATACTTGACAATCCCGTAAGACAATACTCTGAAGACATGTAAGTTTTTGTAGGTCTGAAGGTATGGATTGAAGGATTTCACTCTTCAAAAACTCAAATCTGTTCAAGACGCGTGCTATATTCAAATGTCTCCATTATTGACTCTAGCTTTGAACAGAGCTAATAGAGAGATGTTTGAGTGTGCCAGGCAACCAACCATTTGATGATATAAACGTGAGAGATGGACAATCATCAATGTCCAAGTACTCCAAATGAGTAATGCTTAATCCTCCAAATATTCCAATTTCTCACAACTTCTTATCCAAGCCTTCTCAGAGATAAAGTTATCATGCTTCCTTCAAAGAAAGTCAGAGAATCACAATCTTCAATTACTAAGCTTTCTTATTTGTCTGCTTCAATGCTTCTTGTAAAGATTTTAGAGCCTCCCCGTTACAATTTACAATCTTCAAAGAACTGAGATTGGGGAGCAAATTAGTCTCTGGAAACAAAACAAGACTTTTACAATTTACAATTGACAAGTCTTTAAGGGATATGAGACATGAATACCATCTAGTGGCTTCCCAACATAAGGGATTCTCGCCAAGAAACTGATAATCTTTAAAAAAGATTGAATCCTTGATTTATCAATTTCCAGGCTTTGGAGTATTTGAAAGCCATAGAATGAAATGACTGGAAGTAGTGGAAGTGCTATTACTACTACACACCACTTCCTTGCAGTCATCAATTCTAATTTACATAGCACTGGAAAACTTGAGCAGGAAACCGCCAACCCTACGCACTTCTTAATAGAAAGTATTTCTAAAGAGGAAGACGACAAGGTAATTCTCCAGTAAGACTGGGACATTCGTCGATAAAAAGCTCCGAAGGAGAGGGAGTTTTTCAGCATCATCATTTTGTCTCTTAGTGTTCCAACACTTCCATTTTTGCAAGTTCTGAAAACTAAGAACCTCCAATGACTTGAAGGCATATTAACATTTACTATTTCTAGACTTGGCATCCCTTCAATGGTTACGTCTTTAAGTGAGTTCAACACCTCAAGTGAAGGCAAACTTCTCCGGTTGTTACAATTTTCTAATTTGAGGACTCTCAAATTGGAGAGTGACGACACATCTTCTAATCAACATGGAAAACACGCACCTCCATAGCACTTGATTATGAGTTCTTTTAAATGCTACGAGGTTTCAACATGCTAAGAACATGATTTCTATTAGAGGTGGAACAAATGGGCCGGGTTAGGGGGTCAACCTTAATCCGACCCACAATGAAGAGGATTCAACCCGCAGCAACCACCGGGCGGACTGGGTTGCTATATGGCAACTGACAACTCGGTGGGTTGCTTTTTTTTGCAATAGCCAACCTGGCGGGTTGGCCAAAAAAAATTAAAAAAATTAAAAAATTAATTATTTTTTCAAGTTTCTCTCATTTTTGTGTCTTTAATTAAACTATTATGATTGAACTTACAATAAATTTTACACAATAATATTAAACTATACTTCTAATCATAAATATTAAAATGTATAAAACTTCGTAATATTTAACACATTATTTATTATTTTTTTATGGTATGTAAAATATAAAAAAATTAAATACTGAAGTCTTATTCTCAAATTTCCATGCCTTGTATAAAATATAATCATTCTTAGCAAGTTTCTTCAATTGAATGAATAATTGTCAATGAGGGAGGTCGTAGTGAACCACCACCAAATTAGTTGTTTTGTAAAATGTAATTTGTAAATTAATTGTCAATTAGCATCTTTTTTCTTTACCAAGTTTTTTCTCTATTGGGTTTTTCTTGGTGAGATTTTTAACGAAGAATAGTTGTTGTAATTTCTTATTTTATTTTTTGATAAATGAATAAGTTAATTTTCTTATATTAAATTTATTGTATTAAATTGAATTAATATTTGAAATGGTAACAAAAAAAAAAAAATTAATTGAATGAATTATTGATATTTGAAAAGTTAATTAAAAACAATTACATTTAATTGATTCATTTAAAATTGTTAATTAATTATTTGAAAAGTAAACAAAAAAAAAAAAAATCGGGCTAACCCTGCCCGGATCGCCGCCTAACTCGGCAGGTTAGGGTTGGCAGGCCGGCTAGGCCAGCCATTTTCCCCAAAATGGCGGGCCTAACCTGGCCTGCCTTTGTTGGCGGGGGGTTAGGCCCAGCCCGCCAAAGTTTGTAACCTATCGCGGGGCGGGCTGGGCAGGTTACTTTTCACCTTTACTTTCTACTTCCTCTTTTGTGAGCGCTCTGATTCAGATCCACGTCCACAACAACACTTCTAAACTTTCTATTTTTTAATATGAGCTCTCCTTTATGGTTTTGATGAGCAACATTCTCTAATTTGGAAATGTGAAGCTCTCCTTGAAGAAAATTAAACTCTTCATATCATTCAAATTTGAATCCATACCCCTATCGGCACATAAAATTAGACAACCTCCAAAGATTTTCAATTCTTTCATCCCAGATGGCATCCCTTTAATGAATGAGCACTTTTTATATCAAGATGATATAGATTGGTCAAATATCTAATTTTAGAGGTAACTTCATAAGACAAGAACAACCATTTAACAACAAAGTTTGCAAGTTGAATAAGAGCTTGTTGACTCTGGCAAACTTTGATACTGCGTAAGAAAATGAGATACCTTAAATATATCAAACCTCCAATTGAATTCGGTAAATAAGGGATGTAATATCTTTCTAACGATAATACTCTCAACTTTTTGAACGGGGGCAATAAATCAAAAAGAAGTATAGCAGCTATGTAACTTTTGCTGCTATACTTGTTATAAGGACTCATAAATATTGGCATGAATGTTCTAAGTCTTTCATTTTTTCAAGTCCTTAAACATATTTCACTGTCATAATTTTTAGAATATAAGACAAATGACGAGTCTTTTCAATTTTTTGGTAGCATAGCATTGGCTCCTCAAATCTACAGCCAATTTCTCTAAAAATGATGTGCTAGATCAGAACAAGTTCATGTATTACATATTTAAATTATTGCTACTTAGATTGCTGAAAAAATGACCTTGAATATAATTGACGAAAATACTCACCAATCAAATCCAAGTGCTTATCTGATTGTGAATAATGCCTTCTCCTAGCCACAAAAGTCCAAGTTCCTTCTATCGAACTCATAATCTTTTGGCAAAATAGCAAAATAAGCAAAACATCTTTTAAGATGTGAAGGAAGATGATGGTAACTTGCCTTAACACAGGAAGGATGTCATTTCCTTCAAATGAATCCCATATTTGCTGGGTAATATATTCTCCCGCATCAACTCTCTGTTCATAGCGTAGAACACCACCTAAAGTCTTTGCTGCCAGGGGCAATCCTCCAAACTTTTTAACAACACGTTCACGAAATTTTCAAGAGCATCAATATCCATACTAGTCGAAGGTGCATGCTCCAAAAACAACTTCCAACATGCGTTCATTTGAAAGAGCTTATTATAATTCAAAGTTCAATGATTCATCATTTCTGCCACTCTTTCACTTCGTGTAGTCACAATTTATTTACTTCCCCATGCACTATTTTAATGGAGACTTGAAGGTTTCCACAAGCTACAGTTCTCGTTCCAGACATCATCTAAAACTAGCAAGAACTTTCTTCCATTTCCTTTTTCAGTTCCTCATGTACTTCATTCAACATATTAGCTTGCTGTTTGAGAGTTATCGACTCCAGAACTGACTTCGAGATTCTCACTACATCAAAATCATCCGAGACAGAAACCCATGCTTTTTCTCGAACTGGAACGTACCAGTTCCTTGTCATTGTACACCTCCCGAACAAGTGTTGTTTTGCCAAGTCCCCCTATGCCCACAAGGCTACCACACCAAAGTTAGCATCACTTGGTTTATCACTTGACACCATCTTAAGTATTTTTTTTTTTTTTGTCTTCACCTCTCCCGTAAACGGCTCTTCAGTTTGCGGACTTGAAGTGGGTGGTCTTGGATCTGATCCTTGCTGTGCAGATGCAGTCTTATTTGATGTCCCTCAGAAGTCTCGTGCATCAATCCAAGTTCAGCTCTTTCTTTATAGAGCTCTTCAAATCTGCCAGCGATGTCTTTAACCCTTGGTCGCATGCTATGTCAAACTTAATAGCGCGTGGAGTAAAATTCTTGAAACAAGAAGGGATATTAATGGAGTTGTGGCGCGAAGCTTCATAGGCAAACTCTTCAAGAATGTCCTCCACACATCATAAGCAGGTCTTGAAGATCTCCAGCCACAATTCACAGCCTTGTTCGTCAGTTGCTTCTCTTCGGCAGAGCCGAGAACTGCCTTATCTTCTCCAACTTCCTTTCCCATTTTTTTAGCTTTGAAATTACCCCTTCTTCAAATGGAAAGTTGAGCAACTCAGTGGACGCAAGTTTTTAAACAACACAAGAAGAATTGCAGAGAGTAAACTTTCGGCCATGGTTTTTGGTTTCACAACTAGAGAACGATGAATGAGTATGAGAGCAAAGCAAGCAGAAATTATAGATTTTGTGTAAGAATGCAAAGACTTGGTTTCAAAAAACAAGAAGACACAGGACTTGGTAGCAACAATTACTATAAGATTTTACTAATTTATCATTATAATTTCCATTAAAAGGTTGTCACATTCCTAACTTCTGCCCGAAACCCTTACACACCCTTCTCTCATATTTCTATTAACACTCCCAATTTATGCACACAAATCCCAAAATGTGAAATTTTCTATCTGTAGTCTGTGGCTCATATAGGACTCACAACACTTGCTCTTCACCAATACATTTTCTCATGCAACACCACGATTTACCAACCTATATATGATCGAAGGATGAACATATTATAACTTTCTTTGGACGAAGAAATTGTCTCAAGGTGCCTACATTGCTGCCTTGCAACTGCAGTTTTTCAGGCTTCACATTCCTCTTATATCATCAAAATAAGTTCACGGTGCAATGGCAACTGAATGGAGCCCCAAGTTTCTGAAGCAATGATCTAGTTGTTTGTGGCCTTTAACCCTTTTCAGATTTTGTTCTAATCACCAGCCATGATGGTGTTGTTGGCTAACTCACCTGCAAAACAAAGAAAATAAATCTGAAAATGACGCAGTTGAAAAAAATATATGTAAAACTATTGATACAGTAGTTACAATTCCAATGCAAGTATCTCTCTCAGATACTGCAACTTACAAGCAACAAATTTGGACCTGTTTCTTCAGGAGAATTCTTGCCATCTATGTCGTTAAGGGAACATGGGCTATTTTGTACTAATCTTCCCTTTTCTTTCTTGCATCAAGCTGTTAGTCATCAAGGGACAGACATCAATATTTCGGTTGCAACTAGGTGAAGAAACAACAGAAACCGCAACTTTGAGAACATTTTAAGTAAGAAATTACCGAAGTGATGTGAAATTGTGCAGTTCATTTGGTTAGGACCTGAGATTATCATATACCACAAGCCTTCTTTGGCAAAAGATTCAAGCAGCGAACACTCCCTGATGATCTCCAGAAGTTCAAGATATGAGATTTTGGAGATTTTTGCACTCTCTTATCCCGCAGAAATTGACTTGAACTTGTCATCGTTACAAAGATATCAAAATGTACAGGACTTTCTTATCCAAGTTGGAAATCTCATTCCATACCATATATGGGAACTGATCAAAAGTGTACTACAAAACGTTTTCCGATCAACACTGCTTCAATCATTCCATTCAAATGATTCACCTTCAACATAAGTAAACATAGATTATGTAGAAATGCTTTCCAAGAAAACAGACAATGGTATTTTTGGGAAAACGTAAGAATAAGTCTATATAATTAAGTAGAGAAAGAAAATCTTACGCGCTTGCGTTAGCGAAGTTGTTCTGCCATAGCAAGGATATAAAGAAGTCAATCAGTTGGTTTTGCTCTCATCATTTCTTCCTTTAAGAATAAGAATAAGACAAAAGACTAACAGTGACATAACCCATGAAAAGAGATAATAGCATGCAATGATGGAAATATTAAAAATATAAGGCAATCTCTTTTTGTATACTGAAAAAATAAATAAATACTGAAGAAAAAGAAGATTATTAACCTTTTTACATGGATACACAGGTCTCTTTTCAAAAAATAGTAATTTTACTGGCGTCTAGCCTTCTAATCGTAGCAAAGAGTTTACTTTCAAAACAGAGCAGCCACTAACAAAGTTATGATACAATATTAAACTAATGAAATTGTAAAATCATAGCGGGAAAGAAGTTTTCATACATTGCACATATGTAGACAGAAGAATCCACTATTATCATCCTCTTCACTAAAAGATGATCCTGTTGATCAAAGATGATCTGGGATTACCATTTGCTAAAGGTTTATACATAAAAATGATTTCAAATATGATTACACGAAGCTGGATAAGGAAAAATTTATGGCTTTGCCATCACAGTCTGATGTCAAAGTTTAGATATAAATATGTTGATCAGTAATTGAACAAAATTGCAAGTATTAATCATCAAGAAAAGAAACAGAAATCTAATAATTGTTGAATACTTTCTTTCGGTTACCTTTTGACCCACAAGAGTAGAAGAAACTAATATGGTCAAGAAAGCAGTGAATGAAATTTCAAATTTAAAGTATTCTTGTATCGCAATGCCATACTCCACTACTCCTGGATTGAAAACTGTAGAACAAAGAAATGGAATATATTCAGCACTACGGTATGATGATAAATTGGGAAACAGTTCATATGTTAGAAATTGACAAACCCAAAATATGAGATGATTCTCTAATTGTTTCTTCATTTTATAATAAAAAATAGCTAAAATTCTGACTCTAAATGTTACTCCTCAGAGTAAAAAACGCATATAACTCATCTGAATCAAAACTGATACCAATCTAAATCAGTTACCTTTCACTGGCGCGAGTGTCAAATTGAAGAATGTACTCCAGATCTGGGATTTCAGCCATCCACTTGCTCCCCACTGAAATCAAGTCAATTAAAGTTAAACCAATCAACGCAAAACGTCAAAGTGAAAAATAATTTAATAAAACTTTGAAATTAAGTTAGAGGATAAAAGAAAATACTGTTAAAGTGTAAGAAAATGACAAACCTGGGTTAAAGTGAAATGAAAATGATTATATGATTGGCTGCTGCAAAATCAAATAACTAGGCTCATTCTTCGTACTCTTCCTCCTTTAAATTGTAGATGAATATTCTATCTATATAAACTTTAGGAATGTGAGCAATCTTTGAGCAATATTTTGCTTTACGCCTTTTCCAATGTCTTTTCAGTAATGGACAATGGTAAATACTTAAATCCATAAGTGAGGATGGTAGACTTTGCAAGGATTTGAGCTTTGGGCATTCAGAAATGGACAAATATTCAAGAGAGGTAAGGCTTTCCAGATCTAGAATGGATTTGAGCTTTGAGCATCTATAAATGGACAAAGATTTAAGAGAGGTGAGGTTTCCCAGATCTGGAATGGATTTGAGCTTTGGGCATCCATAAATGGACAAAGATTCAAGAGAGGTGAGGCTTCCCAACTCTGGAATGGATTCGAGGTTTGGGCATATCTGAATACGCAAATTTTGAAGAGAGGTGAGGCTTCCCAAGTCTGGACTGGATTCAAGGTTTGGGCAATTCTGGATCGTCAAACTATCAAGAGAGATGAGGCTCAAGTCCTGAATGGTTTTTAGCTCTCGAAAACTGTTAATTTCCAGCAATTTAAGAGAGGTGAGGCTTTGAAGACCCAATGTAGACAGAGAAGTTAGAGAGGAAGGTTCTGAATCTTCACATCTAGTAATACGGAGTTCTCTAAGAGAGGTGAGGTTGTGCAACCCCCTTTCTACTAGTGGCCAATAGGTTTTGGCACCTACCCAAACATTGAGTTCTGTTAGGTTGGTGGGTACACCCTCTTCTGCTAACAATATTGGGCAATTCCGTATCTCTAATTCTTTAAGAGAGATCGGAAATTTGAAGGATATTTCCATACTTGACAATCCCGTAAGACAATACTCTGAAGACATGTAAGTTTTTGTAGGTCTGAAGGTACGGATTGAAGGATTTCACACTTCAAAAACTCAATCTGTTCAAGACGAGTGATATATTCAAATGTCTCCATTATTGACTCTAGCTTTGAACAAGAGCTAATAGAGAGATGTTTGAGTGTGCCAGGCAACCAACCATTTGATGATATAAACGTGAGAGATGGACAATCATCAATGTCCAAGTAATCCAAATGAGTAATGCTTAAATCCTCCAAATATTCCAATTTCTCACAACTTCTTATCTCAAGCCTTCTCAGAGATAAAGTTATCATGCTTCCTTCAAAGAAAGTCAGAGAATCACAATCTTCAATTACTAAGCTTTCTATATTTGTCTGCTTCAATGCTTCTTGTAAAGATTTTAGAGCCTCCCAGTTACAATTTACAATCTTCAAAGAACTGAGATTGGGGAGCAAATTAGTCTCTGGAAACAAAACAAGACTTTTACAATTTACAATTGACAAGTCTTTAAGGGATATGAGACCATGAATACCATCTAGTGGCTTCCCAACATAAGTGGATTCTCGCCAAGAACTGATAATCTTTAAAAAAGATTGAAATCCTTGATTTATCCAATTTCCAGGCTTTGGAGAATTTGAAAGAGCCATAGAATGAAATGACTGGAAGTTAGTGGAAGTGCTATTACTACTACACACCACTTCCTTGCAGTCATCAATTTCTAATTTACATAGCACAGGAAAACTTGATCAGGAAACCGCCAACCCTACGCACTTCTTAATAGAAAGTATTTCTAAAGAAGACGACAACGTAATTCTCCAGTAAGACTGGGACATTCGTCGATAAAAAGCTCACGAAAGAGAGGGAATTTTTCGGCATCATCATTTTGTCTCTTAGTGTTCCAACACTTCCATTTTTGCAAGTTCTGAAAACTAAGAACCTCCAATGACTTGAAAGGCATATTAACATTTATTATTTCTAGACTTGGCATCCCTTCAATGGTTAGGTCTTTAAGTGAGTTCAACACCTCAAGTGAAGGCAAACTTCTCCCGTTGTAACAATTTTCTAATTTGAGGACTCTCAAATTGGAGAGTGACGACACATCTTCTAAACAACATGGAAAACACGCACCTCCATAGCACTTGATTATGAGTTCTTTTAAATTGCTATGAGGTTTCAACATGCTAAGAACATGACTTTCTACTTCCTCTTTCTGTGAGCGCTCTGATTGAGATCCCCATTCCAACAACACCACTTCTAAATCTTTCTTATTTTTTAATATGAGCTCTCCTTTATGGTTTTGATGAGCAACATTCTCTAATTTGGAAATGTGAAGCTCTCCTTGAAGAAAATTTAAATTCTTCAAATCATTCAAATTTGAATCCATACCCCTATCCCAATAAAATTAGACAACCTCCGAAGATTTTTCAATTCTTCATCCCAGATGGCATCCCTTTTAATGAATGAGCACTCTTATATCAAGATGATATAGATTGGTCAAATATCTAATTTTGGAAGGTAACTTCATAAGACAAGAACCTTTAACAACAAGTTTGCAAGTTGAATAATGAGCTTGTTGACTCTGGCAACTTTTGATACTAGTGTAAGAAAAATGAGATACCTTAATGTTCAAACCTCCAATGAATTCGGTATAGGGATGTAATATCTTTCTAATGATAATACTCTCCACTTTTGAACCGGGCAAAAAATCAAAAAGAAGTATAGCAGCTATGTACCTTTTGCTGCTATACTTGTTATAAGGACTCATAAATATTGGCATGAATGTTCTAAGTCTTTTCATTTTTTTCAAGTCCTTAAACATATTTTCACTGTCATAATTTTTAGAAATATAAGACAAATACGATTCTTTTCAATTTTTTTTGGTAGCATGCATTGGCTTCCTCAAATCTACAGCCATTTCTCCAAAAATTGATTGTGCTAGATCATGACAAGGTCATGCATTACATATTTAGAATTATTGCTACTTGATTGCTGAAAAAATGCCCTTGAATATAATTGACGAAAATACTCACCAGTCAAATCCAGGTGCTTATCTGATGTTGAATAATGCCTTCTCCCAGCCACAAAAGCCCAAGTTCCTTCTCATCGAACTCATAATCTTTTGGCAAAATACAAATAAGCAAACATCTTTTAAGATGTGAAGGAAGATGATGGTAACTTAGCCTTAACACAGGAAGGATGTCATTTCCTTCAAATGTCCATATTTTGCTGTGTAATTATTCTCCCACGCATCAACTCTCTGTTCATAGCGTAGAACACCACCTAAAGTCTTTGCTGCCAGGGCAATCCTCCACACTTTTAACAACACGTTCACGAAATTTTCCAAGAGCATCAATACCATACTAGTCGAAGGTGCATGCTCCAAAAACAACTTCCAACATGCTCATTTGAAAGAGCTTTTAATTTATAAGGTTCATATGATCTCATCATTTCTGCCACTCTTTCACTTCGTGTAGTCACAATTATTTTACTTCCCCATGCACTATTTTTTAATGGAGACTTGAGGTTTCCCACAAGCTACAGTTCTCGTTCCAGACATCATCTAAAACTAGCAGAACTTTCTTCCATGTATTTCCTTTTTCAGTTCCTCATGTACTTCATTCAAACTATTTAGCTTGCTGGTTTTGAGAGTTACCGCTCCAGAACTGACTTCGAGATTCTCACTACATCAAAATCATCCGAGACAGAAACCCATGCTTTTCTCGAACTGGAAACGTACCAGTTCCTTGTCATTGTAACCCTCCCGACACAGTGTTGTTTGCCAAGTCC